GATCACCACAAGGATTTTTGCTGTGACTTCTTTACATCAAGTCAATAAAGCTAACACAACAATACTTTATTTCGTTTAGGGGAAATGTCTGTGGACCACAAACACTTATTTTTCATGCTTAAAGATATTTCAGTAATAATACAAATGAATAAAATACAAGCAAAGAGGAGAAAAGGTTTGTTCAAAGTCTTATTTCTGCTTTTGTGATACTTTTGTATTGAACCCTATTAAAAAAAAAAAAAATCTGTTCTTTGTTGCCATAGCAATAGATTCCCAGGGTGAAATTATATCATGCTGCTTTTCTTCTAGGTTTCTGCAATGTGCAATCACCACCCACTCTCCTTCATTACCGTCAATAATCAGCAAGCCCTCCCCACCCCCAGCCTCTCTTCATCTGCATGTTTTGGGATGGAGGATGTAGTAGTTATTGTTTTGACAGATGTAGAGAAGCCAAGTGAATTCTCAGCATGATGAGGGAGCACTGAAATGTCTCCAGTCCGGTCCCCTCTGACAATGCCTGTGAGCACCTATCTGTCTTCAGTGCCAAACCTCTTGTGCGCACACACTAACTGCCAGTGTCAGCTCTACAACACTGCACTGTGGTCTGCTGGGAGAGGTGGGAGAAAGCACCTATGCTAGCCTAGAATTGAGAAAGCAATGTCAAGTTTGAAGTAGAACCCTGATTTCCTGACTTAAAATGCTATTGCATTAACTCAGTGTGCCACCTCACCCTTGCACCACGACAACTTCAAAATGAACACTTCTGTAGCAGATCAACAGGCCGAGCAGAGCCTGCAGAACATGCACCACGGTCTGAAGATTAGAACACAATGTAACGTATTTCAACAGGCTTGTGCCAGGAAACAAAACAAAACAAACAACTGGCCTCCATGCAATTATTCTGAAACAATGTACAGTTATCACTGAGTATCTAGCCCTGCCTTTAGCTGTATGGCTGTTTCTCCAAGGTTATATCTACACATGCTTTTTTAACACTAAACCCCCAAATCAAAGCAAGTGGTTAAGCTAAAGAGTTAATTCATGTTAAACACTGATCTTGTTTAAGTTCTCCTGGTCTCATTGCTTTAGAGGACCAAGCCAATTCATTATACTGGTTTACAATAGCTGAAGAACAAGCCCTGGATAACTTTCTGACATTTAATATTACTGAACATTTTTCACTGTATTGAAATAAAGGCTAGTGTTCTCTAGTGTTTATTCATGTTCTCACTACTTAGACAAAGCAATGCAACTGCAGATTTACCAAGAGCACTGAAGGGACATGACCTTCATCCTCCTCCAGTCCCAGACCTTTTCCATTAGTACTGCTTTCACCCCAGAGTCACAGATCCCGGTCATATGGCTAAGCCACCAACCCACCCACCTCCTTTACTCAGATTCAAGGCTGCCTTTCTCCTCAAGCAACATTCACCAGGTTTTCAATAGTAATTTTTGATTTTCAATCTGAGTTTCTCGGTATGTCTTTGTTGTTCTTTCATACATCCTGACAAGATTTTTCTCTCATCGAACAGCTTGTAAAATATTTTTGTTTTCTAAATAGTGGTATTCTTTTGCGGAATAAAAAATGGTTTTCTAATAAAAACAAAAATTTCTACTTGGCTACATAGAACATACTGTAAAAAAAAAGGAGTGCTTTGCACAGTACTATGCATTACATCTTCGCAACAGTGTGATAGCTGAAAGTCAAAAGGAAAAAAAAAAGAGCTGCATGACAGAACTCTTTCGGTTTGCCTGTCGGATTAGCTGCTAAATATGATTTCAGGTACAAGACACGTCATTGTTAGTGCATGCCTTCATGAATTCAGGAACAAGACGTTTTGAATGCTTACGGCCCATTTAGTAATTCTTTATGGATACAATAGTATCCATTTAAGCAATATGCCTGTAAATAATGTATCTTTTTTGTAACGTGATTATGAATGAATCATGATGTTACTTTTACGCTGAGAATACTAAACCAACATTCTGTATATTAATAGTGGACAAATCCATACTACTCCCTATGTCTTGAAGCCAGGAGAAGACCCTGGATTTGAAAAGCATTCCCTTTAGTTAAGCACATAAGAATTTCACCCATTGTTCTGCAGGGTGCTGCATGATCGGATGCTCGCCCAGCAGTGGTTACAAACTCTCCAGCCTGTACCTATGTAAGCAGTGGTTTATTCCACCAGATTCAGCGTTCACAATGTCTAGCATCTAGTCCTCCACATCTGCTTTGCCAAATCTCAGCTATAGATTCCTTCAAGAATTTTCCATCCTAATGGGCAACTGTGGCAATCACGAAGAAAAAATATATTGTTTTTGGCAATGACAGCAGTAAGATCACTTGTCACACCTGTTCTATTTGTGGCTGACGAGCCCAAAGGGTATTTACAGAGGAAGGTCCTTGACTCAGGATGCAAAATCCTACTGGGACAGTTGAGTATGTAGGTATACAGCAGCCTGCTTTTCCTTTGAAAATTGCACAGAAAGAAAACCATCAACAAAACATAGAACAAATCAACTATCCCTCCTAGAAGCTGAATTAATTAAGTCACTTGTTCAGATTTATCTGTGATATAATAATAAATCAATGAAAGGGACACAATACTAAATTAGTTAAAGGCATGCTGGGAGGGATTAACTCAGCTGGGGAAAATGGATTCCAATCCCCTTTTAACACATTCTGCATCAAACAACACGGGAGGTGCCTGCTGCTCACCCTCCACACCATATTTGCATCCTGCCTTGCTTTGGAAATTATTATTTTGGCCCAGAGTCCTTCCTCCACCATGTTCACTTCCAACTTACTCCCACTAAAGAGGGGCTGTCAGGGAAACTCTCATGACTCCTTGGTCCTCAGTAGATTATTTCAGCCATCCATAGCAAGGTAGAACCTACTCAAGTTGCATTACCTTGAGCCAACAATGCAACTAGGGGAAATAAAGGGGATGGGGAAGGCCAGGGAGAAAAAATTCAGCAGGCAATGGCTGGGCGTCACAACTGTTACTCTTTACACCAAGCAAAGTTAGAGATCAACCTCAGAAACTGGCATTTCCTCAGGGCAGATTTTTTTCTATACCACGGGGAACTTAACTGACTGGATTACAGTACTTGAACAATATACAGTATCTCTTAATCAGCCATCCAAGATTAAATGTCACTTTGTCCTGGTTTTGCTAAGATAGCAAGGAAGTTGTTGATGCCCCCTCCCTGGAAGTGTTTAAGACCAGGCTGGATGAGGCTTTGAGCAACCTGATCTAGTGGAGGGTGTCCCTGCTGACGGCAGGGGGATTGGAACTAGATGATCTTTAAGGTCCCTTCCAATCCAAACCATTCTATGATTCTATGATTCTATGAAAATAATGCTATGTTAACTTCTTTTTGGTTTCAGTTCTTACGATTACTGGCCTGTTGTCTGTTTGCTAGGCAGAAGTACATCTCAGCAGTATACCTGACAGGTGTCTGGGCAGCACAAGGAGTTTTTCGTCCTATTATTGACCTACTAATGCTAACCTTGGAGTGAAAAAATACTGTGTTATAGTCAAATGTCTAAAGTTTAGTGTAAATGCAGGGCTGATGTGGTGGTCCTCTGCATGCATATGATAAATCTGTGAAGAACTCTCAAATGTTAGTGCCTCTAATCAGTTCTGCATGTCCTTCCCTCTGTCAGGATGGGAGGACCAGAATCTTTCCCCATTTTCTGTCATGCACTTTTAATGTGAGTCAGAAGTATTACCTTAGAAGGAAATGTCCAAAATAGACTGAACTGAATCTATTACTTTGGATATACATCTTTAATAAAACTTTTCCAAGCAATGGAACATTCTGTGTGATACAAAATGTTGTGTTGCTAGGTGGCATGATTTGTTCTTAATTTGTCTGGATATTTGGCATGGACATTTGGAATATAAACATTCTGAGGAGATACTGTGGTGTCATAAGTACAGAGTGCAGCTGGAAGTACAATTCTTTTAGGATACCAGAAGAAAGATGTTCTCGAGTTTGCATCAGGAGTGCATTTCTGAAATGTCTCTCAAGCATTCCTGTCTACAATGATGTAGTTTGTGTTGTGGACTAGTGTCCTGGTTTTGCTAGGATAGAGTTAATTTTCTTTTTAGTAATTAGAATAGCTGCATTTTAGTTTCAGTGTTTCAGTTCAGACTTATTATGAGAAGAACGTTGGTAACAGTACTGGTATTATTAGTTGCTGCTGGAGCTCAAGGCCACTGTGTTTGGCTGCTTCACAGCCGCACTAGGACTGAGAGGGGAGAAGTGCAGTGAATAGCAAAACCCAAAACTGGCATCTGGATGTGCCAATGGGATATTCCATATCATATCACGTCATGTCAGTATATTAACCGGGGATGACCGGAAGATGGGGTAGTCTCTTGGGGATCGCTCAGGCTCACTCTTCCAGGGTTTCGGTTTTGGGACTGTCTCAGCTCCAGGATCATTGGCTGGCACAGGCCGGGCATCGGTCAGCGGGCGGTGAGCACTGTGTATCACTCATTTGTATAGTCTGTTATCACTGTTGTTATCATTATCATTTTATTTTAATTAGTAAATAGTTTTTATCTCAACCCGTGATTTTCCTTTCCCTTTTCTTTCCAATTCTCTCCCCTACTCCCTGGGCGAGGGAGGAGGAGGGTGATAGAGCAGGCTGTGTTTGGCTGCAAGCAAAAGGGTGAATCCACCCAAACCACCACAAGTAGTTTTGAAGTAAATGAACTATACTCATTTTGATTGAAATTAAATTGGAAGATGCCTTCCAAGGTCCACCTAATGTGCTCTGCAAGTGTGCATTCAGTCTGTGGGACCAGAGTGGAATGAATCTGAAGTGTACAAGGAGAAAAAAGAAAGTTAAAAGGCATATAATGTGGAAGTTGGGTCCTCATTACAGTTTTGCACCACAGATCTGCCATTCCTGGGAGTGTGGTTGTAACCTTAGTAATTTCTCAGACATGTTAAACCTTACTTCTTTTTTTTCCTCTTTTCAGGCCAGTATGGAAATCCTCTAAATAAGTACATTAGACATTATGAAGGATTGTCTTACGATGTGGATTTGTTACACCAAAAACACCAGCGTGCCAAAAGAGCAGTATCACATGAAGATCAATTCTTGCACCTAGATTTTCATGCTCATGGAAGGTTAGTGACATTTTAAATATTTTATTCATATGTGTCTTTTAATTATATAGTGAAATGTAAATAGTGAAATACAGTCATCACACTAATGTTAGCTAGAATACACTAAAATGCAGTGCTTACACTTTCTATGAAGTATTTTCTTTGATGTCCAGGATGAGTGTGAAATTGTTGCTTGTAATCGCTCAAAGTTCTAGCGGTAACTGTTAATGCACTTTGAAGCTTAAACAATGGAATCATATTGGGAACAGAATAGTAGCTGATTCTGAGTTTATAATGCAGCTTTGGCATATTTTATTTTTTTTTTACAAAAATTATGCCAAACTGCCTGAGGAGATTTAATTGAGGAAAAGTAAAATTTCAAATTGCTTTTGAAACAACAAAATAGGTCAAAAAAGTGTTCCGGTTTTTGTGTAATGTTATAATCTGTTTTCTTTGATATTGTGGAATTAGCAATTATTTGACATGGGGAAAGCATAATTCCTGTTACAAGACTTGCTTTGCCTTGCATTTAACGTGTGATTGTAAGATCCAGTACAAAAGTTAGATATTAAGTGTGAGCAACTGAAGTATAATTTGTAGGTTTCACTTAAAATATCTTTGTACTTTAGAATGGACTGCTTCTTGTATAACTGAGGAGAAACGGCAAGAAAGTTAAAATATTTGTGTCTGTATCTTCGTTGCACCAAAGATACAGACCCTCCTTTGCAGCACCACTGTCTTAGTAAATTTTTACGAATATGTAATGCCCTTGCTTTTCTAGTTATTTCAGTTACAATTTAAGTAACTAGAACTTGATAAATAATTGCTAGCCATATGTAGAAACATAGGAAGTTTGACAGAGGAAAGGTAAACCCGGGTCTTCTGGATCTATATTTGGAATATTGTTTTATGAGTAAGCATTCTGCTTCTGTGCCAGCTTGTAATTTCTTCAGAGAATAAAGTGTTGCTACTGGAAGTGTATGGTGTAATGACTGAATTTCAGTGCATACTCCCAAAAGAATAGCATTAGGGTTGTATTTGTAACTGCTGTAGAACTGCAACCCAAATCCTGAATTTGAATTCCTGTCCTTGAAACCACATTTTTGTGTGTGATTTCTAGTCCGGGGAATCTTATTATTTAAAGAAGAGTCACATTGCTACTGTCTCTGCTGTAGCTTCACAGGCAATCTCTAGTCTTTGCTATTAAATTGTTCTAATAAACAAGACTGCAGAGTAGAATGTTTCAGAGGCTCCTCATATTGTAAACCTTTACGCTTTTAAATTAGATCTCCAGGAAGGTTGCAAGTTTCAGTGAAATGCTGCCACTCTTTAACTGCAGGCTGTTGGCTAATTTAGGCTTACCAAATTGTGTACTACTGCAGAGAAGAACAGGCCAGACCATGTTCCCAGTATCATATTTGTGCTAGCACTAGTAATCTTAAAACCATGCAGGAATAGGATCTGGGAACTGGTCCAGCTGAAAATTATTTGGGGAGGGAAGGGGGAAATCAGCATGACTTGAAGGGGTGATGGAGGGAGGATGAGACCATTTTTTCTGGGAGCAATTCACATTCCAGTCCACTTGAGCAGATTCATCTTGTCATTGGTAAAGATCTCATGATAATCTTCTGTAAAATAGAGCTCTTAGCTTAGCTTGTGCATTCTATCTGTGTTAATAAGGTGGGTTGAAAATCCTTATTGTATAAAAATGGTAACTGTACTTACGCTAATGAGGTCTAAAAAAGATTTCTTCACTTACTTCATGGATCTTAGCCACACCAGACATTAGTAGCTGATTTTGATAATGGCTACTATTACTTGTGAAGGAAAGTGTTGGTGTTTATATGCGTAATTTATTTTAAATCCCTATGCTCTGAGTCACAAGTCCATCATTAACTGAGGAGGCTGAATGGAAACTTACTATAAAGTCAAACCAGTCCATAATTTAGGATTTTCCTGTGACACATCTAACACTTCCTGACAAAAAGAGGGGAGTTGACAGGCTGTAAATTTAGTCCACAAATTCCTGTTAATCTGCCTGTGTTCTTACCAAATATTTTCATTTTTCTTTAAATATGAATTGGGAAGGATCAAGTAAATTGTGTTTTACTTCATGCAGTCTGTTTAGTAGCTTTGAAGGTATGCAGCAGTTTGAAAAACTGTATCAGTAGGATTGCCTTTTTGTAGTTGTAGCTAGTTTATTGTGAATAACTAGAAGTAATTTATGTCATCACTGAGAATGAGAACATTAAAACCTTTTTATCAAATATTCTACTTACTTTGTGCTAAGGTAGGAAATACAGCTTTTGCAAAATACTTAAACCATTTAGATTTAGCCCATGGACTCTTAAAAGTGTTGTTTTATTTAAATACAGGTGATGAAACTTAAAGGCATTCAGTCAACATGAGGTTTGAGATTCTGAAAATTTAAGACTGAGTTTTTGAATAGCCTTATGGTTAGCTAAGAATGCATTCAGGTGTAGTGGTTTATTGGCATACAGCTGTCCAACTTGCATCTCCTCAACTTAACAGAGATACTAAACAGCTGCTACTGTACTGAAATTATAATCTTCTGTTTTGAATTGGCTTCTGAATAAATGGCTGTCTTCTGTAGCCAAAGGAAAAGCTGTCCTAATATTTGCTGCTGTTCACTGCTGGACCACAACAGTTCTTACTCTGTATCTCTGGTACCAGTTTGAACTTGATAAACTTTATTTTTCAGTTTGTGCCAGAGGAAGCACCTGTTGGGCACGTGGCCAGTCAAGATGGGAAAGTTATTTGACTGGTTATTTTTCAGCCAGATTAATTCCTCATGAAATTTGGTATATAAGTAAACTTGCTGTAAGAAGAAAGGTTGCAGAAATAAGCAGAAGTGCTGAGAGGGAAGATGCAATACTGCCCCTTTCAGTGACAGCACTGACATATACCAGATTAGCATTCATCGAACTTACAGGTTCATTGTCCCGAAAACAGCTGGCAGCTACAAGGATTTTATGATTGTGTAAGTAGCATCTGTTCTTTTCAGTAGTCTGTTTGAATTTAAGAACTGTATTTCTTAGTACCCTTTTATTTAAAAAAATAAAAATGAAATTTAACTATTATTTATTTATACCAAGTTAAAGTGACCATTTAACTATGGGCTAATAACAGTTTAATAATGAAGTAGATACTGTAATGATGGAATTAAACCCAAAGCTACCTTTTGTCACCAAACTCAGTAGTTCTACAAATGGGCATATAACATGTCATCATTGAGAAACCCTGCCTTAGTTAACCTCCATCTGTAAGTTAAATGCTACACAGTATACTGTTAAGAACAGAAATTTTTGTTGCTGGGTAATCTAAAATACAACTTGTTTTGACAGGTGTGATTAATTAAACCAAGCCAGCCACTACTCAGTTCTAAAACACTAGCTTAATAGGACAGTTAAAATTGCTGAAACTAAACTATGGATACCTATAAATTCTTTTGAATCATAAAATATGTAGTTTAGATGAGTTGACGTATTGCTTCACCAGTACTGCAAAATGTGTTCATTTCTAAAATGCTTCAAATTGGAAGGAATATGAAATTTTAAAACAATCCTGATATAGCTCTTCCACTTGACAGTTTATATTGAGTGTTTTAGTGTGAGTGAATTTAAGGTGCCCTTTGAGTACAGGGAAGGTTCATACAAAGATAGTGAATGCATAGTGTTAATATTAATCAACTAAGTTCCTGGTATAAAGGAGCTTTTGAACCCACTACACACACCCCATTCCACCTGCCAAAACAAGTTGTATTTGTTTTGTATCTGCCTCCCCCCTAAAAAAAAAGAGACAAAACCAACCAAACAAACAAAACTGAAATCCCAAAATACATGGAATGATTCATAGAAAAGCAATGCCTTTGGCACCAGCTTGAGATACAGCTTTCTTTTGCAAGTCAAAGTAATGTCAGTAGTTTTGAAATAACACTAAAACTGACATTGTATTTTATACCTAGTTTTGACTCACTCACAAAATCTGTACTTGTACTTGTTCACTTACTGAACACAACCCTTCCTGTGCAGAGAAGTTGGGAAGTTTTCCTCACTTTTTTCAGTGCATTTTGCATTGAAACATTTGCAATATATTAGTTGTAGGACATCTTAAGCTGCGTTCCTATCAAGTGTGGAATGTCAGAAATATATTGGATACTTCATTCCTTGTGGTTTCATTTTGAGGACAGAGCCTGAAAAACTTGCCTGAAATCTGATGTTCTCTGAACTATACTTTTTTATCTAATGACAAAACTGAATTCCTGACACCCAGATACATTCAGAAGGAACTACATCTATGTAATGTTTAACTGTACTGTCAGTCAGCTTTTTACTTAATGTATTCCTAATAACTTACGCTTTCTAATTTTTTCTTGATTTGTCCTATTAATCACCCATCCACACTCACTTCCACTCTTTCTCCTGAATTAGTTGTTGACTCTTGCTTGGGAAAGTTACATACACAACTTGAGTGAACAGCTGAATTTTCAGGTGGTACTTGAACACAGTAACACCTACTTATCATTAAATGAAAGATATATTGAGAGCTTCTTTCTTATGTTTTGCAATTTAGCTGCAGTTTTCCTTAGATTTTTTTACCTAAAACTTTATATTAAAAAATAAATACTGTAAGTTGTTAACTTCAGACATGTTTGTTGGAATATATGGTCTGTACATGATCCTCATAATAGGAAAACTGTTATTGGAAGTGCTTGCAATATCTCTTCTTCGTAAGCCATACAAATAAAAAGACTTTTCATACGGTTATGGTTGTGAATATTAAAAGCATTCACTTGTGGAATGTTGTTAGTTTGTTCTATAAAACTTGAGATAGTTTAATAATATGGGCTTCACTGATAAAAATGCTTCTCTGTGTTCTAATTTGGGTTTATAAATCACAGCTGCTAAGTCCAGATTCTTTTAGCCCAGCATATTCATATCTTAAAAGCTAGCTCAATATAGGGTTAAAATCATGTAAATATTAGATGATTATGTCAGTTG